CGGAGCCGGGCGGGCGGAAGGTGCTGTTTGGCGAGGGAGGCCGCGACCCAGCGACCGCAGCCTCGGAGAGAGAACATGTCTGGAGACGGCAGAGTCTGCCCGACTCCAAACCTGACACGAGCGACGCGCAATCGTAAAAGGGCACCGGCGTGAATCTTCAGGGCGCCGCCACCTACGCTGACGTCACGGCGTAGCACGTCTCCGTCCAGCGTCGCCGCTGATTGGCGGTTGGGCGCGACTTGCCTAGTCAATCCAGACCCGGTCCCGCGCTGGTGGCTCCTGGGACGTGCACCTGGGTCGCTGGCGGTGCAGGTTGTGTGACCGCCTGAGGCTCCGGAGTGAGAGACATTGATTTATTGTTCCGCTTCTTCCTGCACGCATTGGGACTTTCTTATATAGGGTGTCCCAAAGTTCACGCAAGATTTGAATTTTGCGTGAGCATTAACAACAACAAAAAATAAAAGCCTAATTTTACTTGGTTTATTGAATCAGATTCTAATATCTGTTGCCCTTTGATTTCAATCCCTTCAACTTGATAAGCATTACCAAGGACCAATTATCGCCCAGGAGCAGCGCCAATGAAGACCAATGAAGACCACGGCTTTTCGTATGTGCCAGCAAAGCCGTGGAGGCCATTTACCCGAAGCGCTCTTCCATACATAACCCTATACTGTATACTTTATGAATCAATAAAAAATTTACAATTTTAATTATAAACTTGTGTTTTCTATCAAAATTACTTCTTGCGTGAATTTTGGGACACCCTATATGTGCCCTGACTGAAGATGGAACCTCCACCGTGGCATATGGAGAGGACGCTCCAAGCAACTGAGTTATCCAGCCAGGGCCTTATTTTTCTCCCCTTTTCAATTCAACTTATCATCTTCCATTATATGTTTATTGGCTGTTTGGCCAAAATGTAAGCTTCAGGAGGGCAAGGATGATCTTTGTTTACCAAGAACCTAGAATAGTAGACGCTCAAACGCTTCTTGAGTGACTAAGTGAATTACTGAGACAAACATGAAACATAAAGGGTTAGATGTAAAATCAAGTAGGGCCCTAGCCGGTTTGGCTCAGTGGATAGAGCTTCGGCTTGTGGACCAAAGGGTCCCAGGTTCGATTGTCAAGGGCACCATCTCGGTTGCAGGCTCCTCCCCATCCCAGACCCTGGTCAGGGCGGGTGGGGGAGGCAACCAATTGATGTGTTTCCCTCGCATTGATATTTCTGTCTTTCCCTCTCTTCCACTCTCTCTAAAAATCAATGGGAAAATGAATCTCTGGTGTTATTTTTCTTCTAGATAAAGTCCAAGATTCACATCAAGACTACTAAAAAGTCATTCCCTCTATGATCTGGACACTGGTTGCTGCAACAAGACTGAGCAAGGAACAAGTTTTCCTCCTTTGAGAGGTCAGTAGCAGAGGTATTTAATTCTGGTCTGGTGGATTGTTGCTTGCATGTTTTTGGTTAAACAAACACCAGTGGACTTTTGAGGACTTTGGAAATGGCTGGAAATCAGTATTGAGCTATCTGTAGAGTTATTTACTGGATTCCAAGACAAGCAACTGGAGTCCTTGGAATAGAAAAATAGAACCATAGAGCAGAGGTCTTCAGAATGGAGTAGGCATACCCCTGGGCATCCTGGAAGACCACGCAAGTACACTTCCAGTTTTAAGGAAATGGATTTCCAAATTTCAGCGTCTAGTTTATTCTTCCCTAAAATTGGTCAGCTTGCAAACAAGCCTAACTACCCAACAGTCCTTCCATTTTACAAAGGAAAAATAAATGGATAAAACTCATGAATAAACATCTTTCATATTACAATTCAAACTAGGGCTACCGCCCTATGGTATAAGAAAACCTCTTTTTACGAAAGAGAAGGATATATCAAAGTATTGGACTCAGGGAAACCTCTTAAAAATTAATCCACTGGCAGATGAATGAATAAATAAAATGTGGTATATACATAGAATGAAATTATGCAGCCTTAAAAAGGAAGGCTGACATAAACAACAACATGGATAAACCTTGAGGACATTATCTTAAGTGAAATAAATCAGTCATTAAGCCACAAAGACAGTGTGAGTCCACTGCCATGAGGTACCTAGGGTAGTCAAATTCATAGAAACAAAGTAGAAGGGTGGTTGCCAGGGGCTGGTGAGAGGGGGCAATGGGGTGTTATTGTTTAATGGGTACAGAGTTTCAGTTTTCCAAGATGAAGAGTTCTGGAGATGGATGGTGGTGGTATTTAATGTCACTGAACTGTACACTTGAAAATGGTTAGCATGGTTTCAAAAAAGTAATCAAGACTTTCTAAACCCAAGGGGTTCCTGTCTCATATGTATGTATATAAAGGGATTGGCTTTAGAAATATACTTTTGAAAGCCTGTATAGAGATACTCTGGAAGCTGAACAGCCAAAGCAGTATGGATTATTTAAAATGTACAATTTTTTTATGGGTTTTTAAGAACCAGTGGATAAAACTCATGAATAAGAACTTCACACAATTTCTTTAAGATAGTGTCCTTTTAAAAAGTCAGATAGTCTCTCTGCTCCTCCTGTTCATCAGACAGCCTCGACCTCCTATGCAGTACCAGCCGCAACCCAGAGACACAATGATGAAGGTCAGAGCAAATGGATTTGGCCGTATTGGGCACCTGGTCACCAGGGCTGCTTTTAACTCTGGCAAAGTGGATACTGTTGTCATCAATGACCCCTTCATTGACCTCAACTACATGGCCTACATGTTCCAGTATGATTCTACTCATCGGAAGTTCAAAGGCACAGTCAAGGCTGAGAACTGTAAGCTTGCCATCCATGTCCATCTTCTAGGAGTCAGGTCCCGCCACCATCAAAAGGGTTGATGCTGGTGCTGAATATGTTGTGGTGTCTGCTGGTATCTTCACTACCTTGGAGAAGGCTGGGGCTCACTTTAATGGTGGAGTCAAGAGAGTCATCATCTCCCTCCCTTGTGTGGGTGCTGCCATATTTGTGAAGGGGAAGGAACCATGACAAGCATGACAACTCCCTCAAGATGGTCAGCAATGCTTCCTGCACCACCAACTGCTTGGTCCCCCTGGCCAAGGCCATCCATGACAACTTTGGCATCGTGGAGGGACTCATGACCACAGTCCATGCCATCACTGCCACCCAGAAGATGATGGATGGCCCCCTCCGGGAAGCTGTGGTATGATAGTGGAGAGGCTGCCCAGAACATCATTCCTGCTTCTACTGGTGCTGCCAAGGCTGTGGGTAAGGTCATCCCTGAGCTGAATGGGAAGCTCACTGTCAAGGCTTTCTCTGGCCCCACCTCCAATGTGTCGGTTGTGGATCTGACCTGCCACCTGGAGAAAGCTGCCAAATACGATGACATCAAGAATATAGTGAAACAGAGGGGCCCCCTCAAGGGCATCCTGGTTATACTGAGGACCAGGTTGTCTCCTGGGACTTTAACAGTGACACCTACTCCTCCACCTTTGATGCTGGGGCTCTCAACGACCACTTTGTCAAGCTCATTTCCTGGTATGATACTAAATTTGGCTACAGCAAAAAGGGTGGCAGACCTTATGGTCCACGTGGCCTCCAAGGAGTTAGAGCCCCCTGGACCACCAGCCCCAACCAGAGGAAGAGAGGCCCTCAGCTACTGGGGACTTCTTGCCCCAATTCCATCCCCCAACACACTTAGAATCTCCTGACTTTCACAGTTTCCATCTCAGACCCCCTGCAGAAGGGGAGGGGCTTAGGGAGCCCTACTTTGTCATGCACCCTCAAAAAAGTTCACTGGCCGTATCTGGTTTTGTTCAGTGGATAGAGCATTGGCCTGAGGACTGAGGTTGTCCCGGGTTCGATTTCGGTCAAGGGCATGTACCTTGGTTGCGGGCACATCCCCAGTGGGAGGTGTGCAGGAGGCAGCTGATCGATGTCTCTAGCTCTCTATCTCTCTCCCTTCCTCTTAACTCTCTATCCCTCTCCCTTCCTCTCTGTAAAAAATCAATAAAATATATTTAAAAAATCAATAAAATATATTTTTTAAAAAGAAAATATTAGTCCTGACCGGTTTGGCTCAGTGGATAGAGCGTCAGCCTTCGGACTGAGGTCCCAGGTTCGATTCCAGTCAGGGGCATGTACCTTGGTTGCAGGCACGTCCCCGGTGGGGGGTGTGCAGGAGGCGGCTGATTGAGGCTTCTCTCTCATCGATGTTTCTAGCTCTGCCCCTCTCCCTTCCTCTCTGTAAAAAAAATCAATAAAACATATTTTTAAAAAAAGAAAATATTTAAAAAAAGTTCACTGCACCCAGCCAAAAAAGAAACAATTAAAAATAAATATTTTTTTTTACAATTACAGTAATCTTAAGCTCTTCCAATCTTGTAAAAGATGAACATTTACTATTTCACATTAATTTTAAAAAGTACCTTATTTAAACTAACATTGAAAAAGTTTGTGAACTTCAATGGGCGAGAAAGCTTGTAGTTTTCCACAATTCTTGTAGGTGGCATGTCAGCAAATGCGTCGGGCTGTCAGTACTGCCGAGGGTGTTTGCAGCTTCTCTCAGGTTAGCTTTTTGCCTTGGAGCAGGAGAACATTAGCCTCTCTCCAGGACCCGGGCCACCCTGTGGCGGCCGGGCGGGGTGGGGCGTGGCTCCCAGGCTGCCCTCCCGCGTGGGGTCATATTTCCTGCGCGTGCTTCCTCACCGCGCCGCTGCCTTCCCGCCAGACTTCAAGTTTTAAGTTTCATTTCCACTCACTGGCCGAGACTACAGGTTCCTCTAACCGCGGCCCTTTCGCGAAGCCGAGTCTATTTTCCAGGAGCAGAGAGCGCCAGCCATGGATCCTGGGAGCGGAAAGGCGACGCGGACAGCTTCGAAGGCGGGAGCCGCCACCTCCAAGATTTTGGCGCAGAGTGCGAAGGGCGCCCCGACGAAATCCCCGTCGACGAAGCCCACCCAGACGAAGCCCATCGAGTGTCCGGTTGTCCGCGAAGCTGTCCAGCCCCACGAGCAGAATTGCAGCTCCTCTAGAGGGTCGGGGAACCAGCGGAAGAAGAGCCCCCCGGGCTCCCGGGGGAGACCGCAGGTCCGCGCGCGGGGTGCGCGCACCGAGAAGGCCCCTCTGAGCGGTGACGCGGTGGACGGGCACACGGATCTGGCCGAGGAGCCGGAGCCGCCTCTTCCCAGAGCTGGATCTCGCCGAAAAGGGGGTGCATGTGCCAAGAAGGTGCCTCTGAGCGGTGACGCGGTGGACGGGCACACGGATCTGGCCGAGGAGCCGGAGCCGCCTCTTCCCAGAGCTGGATCTCGCCGAAAAGGGGGTGCATGTGCCAAGAAGGTGCCTCTGAGCGGTGACGCGGTGGACGGGCACACGGATCTGGCCGAGGAGCCGGAGCCGCCTCTTCCCAGAGCTGGATCTCGCCGAAAAGGGGGTGCATGTGCCAAGAAGGTGCCTCTGAGCGGTGACGCGGTGGACGGGCACACGGATCTGGCCGAGGAGCCGGAGCCGCCTCTTCCCAGAGCTGGATCTCGCCGAAAAGGGGGTGCATGTGCCAAGAAGGTGCCTCTGAGCGGTGACGCGGTGGACGGGCACACGGATCTGGCCGAGGAGCCGGAGCCGCCTCTTCCCAGAGCTGGATCTCGCCGAAAAGGGGGTGCATGTGCCAAGAAGGTGCCTCTGAGCGGTGACGCGGTGGACGGGCACACGGATCTGGCCGAGGAGCCGGAGCCGCCTCTTCCCAGAGCTGGATCTCGCCGAAAAGGGGGTGCATGTGCCAAGAAGGTGCCTCTGAGCGGTGACGCGGTGGACGGGCACACGGATCTGGCCGAGGGGCCGGAGCCTCCCGCGGCTCCGGAGCCACCCCTTCCCAGGGCTGGATCTCGCCGAAAAGGGGGTGCATGCACCCAGAAGGCGCCTCTGAGTGCCCAGGACTCCTTGAACGGGCACACGGATCTGGCCCAGGAGCCGGAGTCGCCCCTTCCCAGGGCTGGATCTCGCCGAAAAGGGAGTGCATGTGCCAAGACGGCGCCCCTGAGCGCCCAGGACGCCTTGAACGGTCAGGCGGGTCTGGCCCAGGAGCCGGAGTCGCCCCTTCCCAGGGCTGGATCTCGCCGAAAAGGAGGTGCATGCACCAAGAAGGCGCCTCTGAGCGCCGAGGACATCTTGAACGGACAGGCCATTCTGGCCGAGGGGCCAGAGCCTCCCGCAGCCCCGGAGTCGCCCCTTCCTAGGGCTGGATCCGCGCGCTCCGCTGGGGAGCGGAGACCTCCGTCCAGGCCAAAGGAGGACGCCGGCCAGGATCCGCTGGTTCCAGCCTCTAGTCTGAGCCGGAGGGACGCGGTGCCCGGCGTCTGGAAGCTCGGGGCGGTGCTGGATAAGTTGAAGCTACGTCGCGCAGAAATCTCAGAAGCCGCGGAGGTTGTAAACAGGGTCGTGGGCCACCTGCTACGAGGACTGAAGAGCGGCTGGTCCGAGTTTAAAGGTGTCGAGGAGCTTCGCACTGGGAGCTACTACGAGCAAGTGAAGGTGAGTGCCAATCGCCTGCCCTCCCGTGCCCTAGGCGCGCGCCCGGCTTCCTCACCCCTCTCCTAACCTGCCCGATATTCCCCATCTCCTATGGTTCCTCACTTTACGTTGTAAGAAACTCAGACTAGTTCTTACGTTCTAGTTAAAACGACATACCTTTGTTCTTTCGTTTATTCATCACTACATCCAAGGAACATAGAGCCAACCTATATTGATTGCTAGCCACTGTTTTGGGGGGAATTCAAATGTATAGATTCATTCATGTAAGCAGACCTGCATTGTGTTTCTCCAACAGTGTTATACTTGGTAATTTCTGGTCAGATTATGACTTGGATGATTAGGAGTGTGATCTGCGAAATATCCACAAAATTAATGTATCTAAGAAACTTTTTTCTATGAGGATTTTTGTACTGCAAAAGAAAAATATTTTCTGTCTCTCTCCAGCCCCTGCGAACCCACTCTTTCTCTCAACTTCTTATTTAGATGTTATGGGAAGCTCCCAGTGAATGATGTTAAAAAT